TAATAAATTCCTCTCTAATAATAGTTGTTTTTAACATTACCAATCACAAATGTCTTCTTTGATAAACACTGACATATAGGCAATAGAAAAGTTACTAGTAGTTTATTAGATGTAAAAAACAGCTTGGGAAATAATGAAACTGAACTTATTTCCATTAAAGGGAACATTAACTTTCAAATGAAATTCATAGCAGCTATTTAATAACATGCCCCCCATCTTCCATCTCCATCATCTACTCCCCAATATCCTTTCTCCTTATACTGAAGCCCCAGAGAGTTTAAAACGTGACTCTTCAGAGGTAGATTAACAATAAAGCTGATAAAGCCTGAGTTTCAGTGCTTTCTTACTTCTAAGATCATGCAGCCTAATTATGAACTTACAGTCTTTGTTTTCTAAGGGAGCCCCCCCAAGTTTTATAGGCTTCAAGCCTGCAAAATCCAGATGTGCCTCTGGCTGTGTTTCTTCCATCTGAAATCCTGTCTTAATTGCTGTTGCTGTACTGGAAAGCCAGCATGAGGTCTATTCTTAAGTACAGAGTTATTTATGACGGGATTTCTTCCTTACAGAGTTTCTAGTCTGGATGCCAAGCTACCACTTTTTTTTACAGAAGAAAATGGGCCACAGGTATTTCTAGGCAGCTCTAGAATGCTCTGTTGGCTTTCTCACAAAGTTTTGTCAGCACATAGTGTTTGCTTTGCTCTAGGCACTTGGAAGAACATGTCTACCAAACTCTGGAACTATAGTTCCTAGCTGTTCCTATAACATTGTGCTTGTCCTTTCAGACTTGGCACAAAGCCATAAGTAGAAATTTGTATTTACACCGTAGAAGCAAAAAATGAAATTATCAGAGTTGATGACTAATCTTTGAAAGTTAAGCAGTTTCCTAATCTCAAGGCCTTCCGACCCTCTACCTAAGTATGATTTTATTGAAAAAAAAAGGAGTTTTGATAAAATTTGAATCTTAACATAGTCTTTCCTATCTTGTTGCAAGGCATTAGTAACAAAACAATTATCCATCTGCATTACCCTTTTTAATTTTATCCTGTTCTCTGTGAGCAGTTCTAATAACCCAGATGATTTGTAAGACGATAACTGATATCAGCAGTCTCTCTTGCTAAGGCTTTCTTCTTTTCCAAAAAATATTGATTATTCTTCTTCCTCACTCCACTTCTGTTTCTTTTTCTTCTCTTCTTTCTCTCCCCTTCCTCCAACAATTCTGTGCCAAATCCATTTATTTATACAGAGCAAGATGGAAAAGGACTAACCATGGGCTACCAGCACCTAGTCACTGTGAGGGGGCATCTGGGTGAGCAGAAGGGTGTAGCACAGCGTCAGGTAGCAGAATAAGGGCGTTTGGAAGCAGTACATGCATGAGGAAGAATGACAGAATTAGGAGCTTGGTGCCACATGGGGAACTGCATCGAACACGCAAACATTGAGAACAGTGGAAATAGACTGCTTGTGACGGAGAAGGCAGTTGCAAAACATGGAAAGGGAGAAAACTAGGACTAACTTTGTGGTGTTGGGGATGAAGTAGAAGTATTGATGTGAACTAAGGATTCTCATTATTTAGAGATAGATGCAAAAATATGTAGTAGTCAGACCTGTCTGTGATTTCACTTTCCATAGTTTGAGTTACTGTACTAAAATTTTCTCAAAATATATAAAATGGAAAAATCTGGAACAGTTCATGAGTTTTTTTGTGTTTCTTAAGTATTTATTTATGTGTAGAGTGTTTTGCCTGCATGTCTATAAGTTTGTTTGCATTGCCTGTGGCGGCCAGAAGAGGGTGCTGGATCCCCTGGAACTGGAGTCACAGAGGGTTGTTAGCTGTCATGTGGGTGCTGGGAACTAAGCCCGGGCCATCTGCAAGAGCAGTCAGTACTCTTTAGTGCTAAACCCTTTCTCCAGCCCTAGTTCATGAGTTTTAAATCACATACCATCTTGAGCAGCAGGATTAAATCTCATGCCATTCAGTTATATTCAGGCTGGGACATTAATCATCTCTTTGTCCAGTGTATCCACACTGTATGCACTACCTTTCCATTAGCTACTTAGTAGCCTGCAGCTGATTTTCAGATCTACTGCTGGAGTAGTACATTCCTAACAGGAGTCTGCTATAGATTCCCCCCCCCCCAAATGCGAGAATAGTGATGCTGGTAAGGTAGATATGCCAAAGAGAAGTCATCAAGTGTTTCTTTTAAGTGAAAGGGTCAAAGTTCTCAACTTTAGCATAGATCTGTAATTATAGGGAAAATAGTGTACTATTCACATTTTCTGGCATGTTTGAAAACATATCTTCTGAGAACCAATGTAGACACACTATCATTGAATCAGGAAATCAATGTAAGATTATCCACTAAGATTAGCCCCTACCATGGGAAAAACCTTCATAATAAATGTCTTTGCTAACAGAGTCTGCTATAGATATGAGAGGATGTGAAACTGTTGAGTGTATGTATGACTGCATGTGTGTGTGTACACGTGTGTGTGTGTGTGTGTGTGTGTGTGTGTGTGTGTGTTCTAGCTCTGGCTACTGACAGAGCCTAAGAGTAGTAAAGGCAATGACCATGCCTAGCCAGAGATCATAGTATTTAAATACTATTCTCCAAGGAACTCAGGACTAGGGTAGGGAATGTTTCTAATGTCTTAGGCACAGTTGCCATCTAAGAGGAGCTTTCACTCAGGGCAAATTGGGCATCAAAATAAATATTAATGAATGATAACCCTCTAAACCAACCTGTGAGTCCATATTAGAAATGTGAATAAATTAAGCATTTGGTAGTAAAAAATGTGCATAGTTTCCAAGTAATACCACACAAAATACTTATTAATTACAAAAGTTTTCCCCCTTTGAGGAGGCTAATTTCAGTGGGGGCCCTGTGCAGCTCTTCTGTAAGTGGCCAGAATGAGTATCTTCAGTAATGGAACAAATTGAGTTCTGGTGCTTCTCCATAGATTTGTATAAGAAGACTCTAGCATTACTTGTGATACCTGCCTATGTTTATAATCTGTCTGATCACGAAAAAAAAAAATCAAGCAAATCACATTCAAATGTGATGGTAGTTATCCCAATTTCATTCCTGTTGCTGTGATAAAATGCCCCTGATGAAAGGCAACTTAGAGGAGAAAAGGTTTTATTTTGGATCACAATTCCAGGTTACAGTCTATCAAGTCAAGGTGGTAGGAACTTAAATAACTGGCCACATCACATCTACAGTCAGGAGCAAACAGAAAGAATGCATACATGCTCACTTAATTGCTTGCTTATGCTTAGCTGGATTTCTCTACCCATACAGTCTAGGCCCTCTGCATAGGGAATATTGCAGTGGGTCAGGTCTTCCCACATATATTAACATTAGTAATTAAGTTCGCTACAGAATTGCCCACAGGCCAACCCAATGTAGACAGCCTCTCATTGAGACTGTCTTCCCAGGTGATTCTAGGTTGTAACAGGTTGACAGTTAAAGCTAACTCTCACACCTGCAATCAATAAACATATCAGGCGCAAAGTCCTTCAGAATCATTTGGGGTTAAAGAGAGTATAGAGACAGATATGTCAACTATGCAGAGCTGGCCCTTGCTGCACGTAAGAAATTGTTAGAGTAATGGGGAGGGCTTGGAAGATGGCACAGTGATTGCTCTCCAAATCTGATGACCTGAATTCAGTGTCCCAAATCCATAGCAGAAGGAGAGTTGTCCTTTAGCCTACGTGTGCATGCACACTATACCCCCACTCTCACAAACAATATGAATATAAATAATAAAATAAGTAAAATTTAAGAACAATGGCCAAATGAAACTTGAGTATGGTGGTAATGTTTCAGTGCTGCTTTCCGGATTACAGATACTGTGTCTATTTAGGAAAAGGTCTTAGTATTTAGAGGGTAAAGAAAATGAGATTGGCAACTTGCAAATGAGTAAAGAAAAACCCACAAAGTATTGTTGCTATACTACACTTGCAATTATTTTATAAATTTGAGGTTGTTTCAGAACAAAGTGAAATTTTAAAATTTCTAAAGTTATATTTAATTGTTCAAATTTCCATAGTATATGAAGATTTTAGTTGCTAGTGGGGTAAATAAGAACTTTGAGGACTGTCACAAGAATTTTTGGTAGTGTGGTCTATCGATATCCTCTTGAAAATATATTTATTTATGGCTACTAAGATCTCATTCAATTTCTAAATTGGATATGGTTTATTATAGCAGTATTAAAATCACTATAAATATATTTGAAATCCCAAATATCCCTTCCAAAATCAAAAGAGACAAGTGTAATCGCAATAGAGTCTCACGACCCAGAATAAATCTGTTTTGAGAACCATTAGAACTACTTCTTGAGGACATGATGGGGGGACGAAAGTCCAGTGCTGTTATGTTACTTCCTTCATCTCTGTTCTTAACCTTCACAATAAGCTTGGTGTCTTCTCAGTAAAAAACAAACAAACAAACACAAGGCCAGCCTGGTCTACATAGAGAGTTCCAGGCTAGCTGGGGCTAGGTGTCTTCTCAGTAAAAAACAAACAAACAAACAACAACAACAAAAAAAAAACGGGTGAGTATATGCCTTTGTATGCATTCCATCAAAAACAAAAAATTATAAAATTTCTGATTTAAAGACCTGGATGGAATATGCTAATCGGGGAAGCACAGAACTGCCTTTGTTTTCTGGAAACACTTAAGAAAATTTGCAGAACTTGGTGCTTGTTTGTGGTACTTCCCACATAGTCCAGCAGGTGGTAGTCTAGGAGAGGGACATGTCTCTTCTTTCCTTGTCCCAAGGACCCAGCAGACCCATTTAAGAAGCAGAAGTTGGGGGGGGGGGTCAGCAATATGCCTTCTCTTCTATGACATAAGAATAGGATTTCCAAGGTTGTTCTCTCGAAGTGGGTGCTCAGTATAGAACTTCTGGCACAAGGAGGAGCCAATAGTCATCTTGTGCTTATGTGTGAGTATGCAGTATTCTGAACCCCAAACATTTTTCTTTATGCTTTCCAGAAATTCCTCTGATTTTATATCTCTTTGCCCTGATTTCCATGACATGGATTTGGGGAGGACTGCATATGGCCTACAGACACTTCTGGATGTTGGTTCTCTTTGTCATTTTCAACAGCCTGCAGGTAAGCCGAGCTTCACATTTTGCTTACAAGCAACACACATGAGCAATGCATACAAAACATGGAGTGTCAGTATTCACTATTTAAGAGTCTACTTGAAGGTGAATTTGTGTGTACAATAGTATTATGCAGAGGTGTAGGATAACATAATAAGGGTTGAATCTTCAACATTTGAAATTTGCCTGGAATTCTAACGTACCCATTATATAGACATGAAAAACAAAAAAACTCACTTGTTTCATTTCAACAACATAAAAAGTAACCACAGATCATATTCTTCATTGGTATTTATGATCAGGTGGAAACCATGTTAGACCTATGCACATATTTGGACCATATCCATGTCTACAAGTTAGATCAATTAAACAACAAAACAGATGTTCAAACAAAATCCCCTCTTAAGCCCAATATTTGGTGTATGAGAATATTTTGGTTTACTCAAAAATGAATTGATAACTCCCTAAGTCTCATAATAGCAAGTTTAAAGAACTTTTATGACTATGTTTGGATAGTGTAACTAAAAACTGTGTAATTGCAAAAAAAAAAAAAAATGCTGATCTTTTTCAGTGATTTTCTTAAATGGGAAAATGTTGTATCCTGAAACTAACAAAATATATAACATTTTTCTTCTTTAAATGTGAAAAAAATCTATTTTAGACTAAAATAATTTTACAGAATTACCCAAAATACTTTTACATAGTCATAACCATTATCTTGCAAGGAAAATGTATACATGCATCTAGGAATATGGCACACAGCTGCAATATGACATACAGCATTTTTAGGTTTTTGCTTTTTTAAGAGACTTTCGTGAGTTGAGGATTTAGCTCAGTGATAGAACACTTGCCCAGCATATACAAATGTCTAGATTCAATCTTTAGTACTAAAAGAAGAGAAGGAGGAGGAAGAGGAGGAAGAGGAAGAGAAGGAGGAGGAGGAGAAGGAGGAAGAGGAAGAGGAGGAAGAGGAGACAAATTCTTCTCTCAGAACATAGCCTACATGATAGTTTCTAATCAAAGGAAAACCCATTAAATGAGCTCAAAGTTTGGAACTGAGTCGATACAAGTTGCTGCATGGGCATCTCTCTAGACACAGTGGAGTATCTACTACCTGCCAGGCAGTACACTATGCTGCCAATAGCTAGAGAAGAAGACAGCCCTGCCCCTGTAGGACTGATGGCTGAAGTGAGTAACAGTACAAGAATATGCTCTGGCAGGTGACATACAAGCAGAGCATTATGAGAGCTGAGTAAGGGCCTGTTTCTCTCTGCCCGTGCTAGCATCCAAGCAGAGTGCAAAGGAGGGCCATCAGGTCAGAGGCCCTGCCTTGGCCTCCTTTGAATATCTAGAGCCTAATGGAACTAAGATCAAGGTCCACGTTAACAGCCTGTACATGTATTTTATTTGGCAGATGCACAGTAGCATACAGAAGTGATTTGGATTTTTAAATATTTGCTGTAGATCTTTAAAATTGAGAAACAACACATTAAGAACCTGAATTTCTGGCTTTCCTTAAAGGCAGTACTTGCATAGTGGCACTTTTTATGTTCTGAGCAGATGCTGTTCATGTAAATGGAGTGTGTAACCTCAGTTATTCCCCTTATCTGAGTTTGTAACACCTTTAATGCTTACTAGATAAATGAGGAACATGTCGTTATTGATGGGTATTTCACACAGAGGAAACAGTGTTAGCCAAGGCTGCAAAAAAATTGAAAGTGATTAATATTGTCTATTGGTGGGAGAAAGGAAGGTTTCACAATCAGAAAAGTGGTTGAAGAGGCATCAAGAAGGTCAGGTGGACTTAAATGTCAACTCTCCATCCTTATTTGGGATGGTCACCTTCCACTTTATCCAACAGGAAGCCATCAGAGTTGGGTGGTTTGATTATTTTATCCTGATTGTTCTTATTTGGTCAATTAATTTTTTTCTCCTTCTGAATGGGGTGACATGCTCATATTTACCCAGGGAAGAACGGCTGGGAATATTTAGAAGGGAATCCTGAAATAAAGAACAGGCAGGCTTTTGTCCTGATCAGAACTATGGGTGCTTCAGCAATGAATAAGGAGCAGTGATGGATTTTAGACTTGTTGAGATTTGGTTAGCAATAATGTGAGAATATGGAGTTCAAGAGAGGAACATCATTGAAAAATTCCTGGCTTGAGTGGATGGCTGGGTGCTGACACCTTTAGGCATGGGAAGAGTGACATTCTGGAGGCAATGTAGCAAAGCTGGTGAGATTTTGGAGACATTGGTAAATAGTACACAATTTCATAACTATATACTCAGACACGTGGACATGCTAGTAAAAGAGATTGTTAATGAGTACTCAAAGGAGAGCCAGGGTAAGAGTTTGGAGTTGCTGTAGAAAAGAGAGCTTCAAAAGAAGTAATATCAAGGCTGGAGAGGTGGTGTCACAGTTTAGAGCATTGGCTGCTCTTGCAGAGAACCTGGGTTCATTTCCCAGCACCCAAATAGCAGCTCATAACCATCTGTAACTCCATTTCCAGGGGATACAGTGTCCTCTTCTGGCTTTTCAGGCAACTGCATGCACAGGTACACTTGCATACATACAACTGAACACTCATACACATAAAATAAATGAATCCAATTTTTTTTTTAAAGAAGCAATGTTCTACTCTTTGAAGTATAGAGAAGTCAAGTAGGATTAGAAGAGAGGAGCAAAGTGAGGTCATGCTGGGGCTCTCAAGCCAGTCCGTGCATCAAAGCTCCATTAGAGGAGACGGGTTGTTAACATGCCGGCCATTACGCCCCCTTCCCAAGCCGCTGCTTCAGTAAGTACAGGTGACTCTGAAGAGTTACATTTCTGACAAGTTTCCAGTTCATGCTGATTCAGCTGGTATAGGCACCACAGTTTGAATGGAGAATAGAAAAAGGGGAAAGGATTATAGCTTCAGAAGAGAAGCTGGCTGATTCAGAGGAGGAACCTTGTGAAAAGAACCAACAAAGGAGAAACCTCTGTGAACAGGCTCACTGTCCATGTGAGATGTGGATGAGGTAGAAGAGCAGAGGAGGCAGAGGGCTTCACTGAGGAGGCGTGTCCTGCCAGCCAGGGAAAGAAGGAAGAGCCGCTGGGCATTGAAACTGCTGCCGCTCAGAGTTCAGAGTCATATCTAATATCCTCTCTCTTTGAGCTGGGCAACAAGGTCATTTATGTAAAGGAATGTGTTGAAAGCTTGAGGTGGCACTAATATAAAAAGTAGGGAGTGACTTCTAGGCAGAAAGTGAAAACTCAGACAGTATTGGAAGATGGTTGAGAAGCTGAGTGCTTACAGAGAAATCAGTGCGATTCAGTGAAGGCTAAATGTGTAACTGAACCAGTCAGCAGTAATTAAATAAATGCAATCCCTAAGAATATAATGGTAGTCTGTATAACCTATTGAACTATAGATGTAGGGGGAAAGCTATGGAGCTCTTTTGGAAGCTTGCAAATAAAACACTGTTGTGTGTACTATATTTCATTGGAAGATGTAAAACTTATGATCTTTCACTGACCTGCTTACTACAAGCTAAGTGTAAATAAAAACTGAATCGATTTCAAATTCATGTTTCATGAGCTTAATTCACTCTATGGCACATCACTGATGCAACATCTGTGTGTGTCGTTTTTACTGGTACTTGGCATTCTGGCACATTGTCAGGACCAGGTGCTCAGCCCTAAAAGTGTCTTGGGAAAGACTATTTCTCTAGAGTTACTGGGGTTAATTTAATTTATGCATTGCCTAAGTTCACCAACCTAAGCACTTCTATTCATGACTATAGAAAATAAAATCTGCCAAGTATGTGCCCTCAAGACTTAATGATTTGGGTTTTATATTTTGTTGGGGTTTTGTGACCACAAAATTATCTTACATATTTTGTGCTTGCCTACAATATTTTGCTCAGGAATTCCTGCCTCATTTTTAACCCAGATTACTATGATGTCTTGGGTCTTCTGAGACTGGTAAATAAAAATTGTATTTTGGTAATATTCTTAGCATGTAAGAAAATATACATGTTAGCTGGGCGTGGTGGCACACACCTTTTGGCCCAGCACTTGGGAGGCAGAGGCAAGCAGATATCTGTAAGTTTAAGGGCAGCCTGGTCTATATAGTGAGTTCAGGTCAGCTGGACTACAAGGAGACCCTGTCTCAAAAAGACAAAAAAAAAAAAAAAAAAAAGAAAAGAAAATATACATGCATATTTATGTTTAGTGAAGCATGGTAAATGCAAATACAAAAGCAGTGTTGCTATAAAATGATTCTAAATATGTCTCATTATTTATATCCCATGAACTGTAAAAAAAAAAAAAATCCTCAAGAACTGAACTCTGACTCAAATTCTTTTTTGAGGCAGGGTCTCCCTGTAGCCTAGCTGTCCTGAAACTCACTATGTAGACCAGGCTGGCCTTGAACTCATAGGGATCTGCCTGCCTCTGCCTCCCAAGTGCTGGGACTACAGGCGTGCGCCACCACGCCTGGCTATAAAATGTTTCCTGACCTTTTATATCTTTATTTTTAAACCACTTGGTCATGTAAACAGAACACATAGAGAGAATAAAGGTGGAAAATGCACTTGACGTTTAGGCCCTAGAAAGGCTTTCCTTCTTTCAGCAGCTACTTGACAACACGTCTACACAGCATGTTTGCCGTTGTGCCTTTGCTGCTTTCCCATGATACTTTGGATGTGAATAGATCCTCACACTCACCACGCTTCATTTCATGCAGAATAGGGACTTCGAATCTTCCAAACAGAGAGAAATGTTTTAATTCTTGTAGTACATACTCAAATCCCAAGGGCTTCAAAATCCTTTCTTTCATTTTGCTGAGAGTGGGTTTTCTCAGTGCCCTGAGCATGGTGGTTCCCACCAGACTTGCTTTTTAATGGCTTTTCAACCCCAGCAGGAAAAGAACTTCCTCCTTAACAAAGAAATCCCAGGAGGAGTCAAGTTGCTCCCACCTTGCCCACATCTACCCAGAAATCAGTCACATGATAGCTCAGACTCCA